CTTTCCCCCTTTAATGTGGTTACAGCACTTGTTCGAATGCAATTGAGGGCACTTGTTTCAGTTTGCTTTCAGTTTTAGGTTTTTCTTTCCCTTCCCATCTTGTTTTAATTTTTAAAAAATTTCTGTTTTTGTTGTTGCTGAGGGACAGAGAAATGCAGAGAGTTCCGGTCTGCTGGTCCACACCCCAAATGCCCCATCAGCTGGGTCTGAGCCAGGGCCAGAGCTAGAAGCCAGGAACTCCCAGGTGGTAGATGAGAACCTAATTACTTGAGCCATCACCACTGCCTCCCAGGGTCTTAATGGACAGGAAGCAGAAGGAAATCGATTCCAGGAATTCCAATGACAGATGTAGAAGTCTTTTTAAGATTTATTTATTTAGCCGGCGCCACGGCTCAATAGGCTAATCCTCTGCCTGCGGCGCTGGCACACCGGGTTCTAGTCCCGGTCGGGGCGCCGGATTCTGTCCCGGTTGCTCCTCTTCCAGGCCAGCTCTCTGCTGTGGCCCGGGAGTGCAGTGGAGGATGGCCCAAGTGCTTCGGCCCTGCACCCGCATGGGAGACCAGGAGAAGCACCTGGCTCCTGCCTTCAGTGTGCTGGCCGTGGTGGCCATTGGAGGGTGAACCAACGGCAAAAGGAAGACCTTTCTCTCTGTCTCTCTCTCTCTCACTATCCACTCTGCCTGTCAAAAAGAAAAAAAAAAAAGGATTTATTTATTTATTTGAAAGTCAAAGTTACACAGAGAGAGAAGGAGAGAGAGAGAGGGAGAGAGGGAGAGAGAGAGAGAGGTTTTCCATTCACTGGCTCACTCCCCAAATGGCCGCAACGGCCGGAGCTGTGCCCATCCAAAGCAAGGAGCTTCTTCCCGGTCTCCCATGTGGGTGTAGGGGTCCAAGGACTTGGGCCATCTTCTACTGCTTTCCCAGGCCATAGCAGAGAGCTGGATCAGAAGTGGAGCAGCCAGAACTTGAACTAGCTCCTATATGGGATGCCGGCACTGCAGGCGACAGCTTTACCTGCTACGCCACAGCACCAACCCTTAGGAGTCTTAACTGTTAGGCTAAATGTGTGTTCCCTTTAACTTTATATTTGAATATATAGAACATGCTTCTACAAGTTGAAATGGGAAACTATACCAAAAAAGAAGTCCTTGGAGCAGTCCTACTCCCTTGGAATCACTTCCATTCCCTCCTTCCAATAATTAATTGTTTTCTGGACGATCCTTCCTGTGTTTCTTTTGGTAATGATAAGCATACACCCAGTAAGACATTCACATGACTTGTGCATGTAGCATTTCCCCCTCCTTCTTTCACAAAAGTTAAGGTACTCTAAATCCTCTTCTGTACTTTGAATTTTTCAAAGTTAATTTTTTTCAGTTAATATTTCCTAGATATCATTCCATTTTAGTTCATAGAAATCTCCCTCATTTAGTTTTGCTTTTTTTTCAAAGCTGCACAGTACCCCACCATGTGTATGTAATGTATTGAATTCAACCTGTTCCCTATGCTTGGACATTTAGGTAGTTTCCATTGTTTTATGACCACAAATATTGTTGTAATGAATAACTCTATGCAATGTATTTTCATATGGTTGGAGGTGTATCTTCCAAGTAAATTATTTTAAGTAGGTTTCTGGGTCAGAGGGTGGGTACACACGTGGTTGTGCCAGATGTCACCGAATTCTCCTCCCTAGGGATGCACCATGTAGGATTGCCACCAGCAATGTATGAGAGGCCTGCTTTCCCATAGCCTCATTAACAAACTTCTTAATTTTGCCAGTCTGGTGCATGAGAAGTGACAGCTCATCTCAGTTTTAATTTGCCTTACATTTATTATAAGTGATTTTGAATGTCTTTTTCATATATTTAGGACCATTTGTATGTCTATTTTTGTGAATTGTCTATTCTCAAATTTGACCCGTGTATCTACAGAATTTTGACTTTTTTTCCCACTCTTTTTAACAGTTCTTTATATGAAAGTACTTCAAAAAAATTTGTGGAAAATAGAATTCAAAGATAAATTTATTTTTTGCTACAAAAATTTTTTGAAGTCCATGCACTTTTCTCATAATAGGCATTTTCCACAAACCTTTTTTTTTTTTTTTTTGACAGGCAGAGTGGACAGTGAGAGAGAGAGAGAGAGAGAGAGAGAGAGAGAGAAAGGTCTTCCTTTGCCGTTAGTTCACCCTACAATGGCCGCCACGGCCGGCACGCTGCGGCTGATCCGATGGCAGGAGCCAGGTGCTTCTCCTGGTCTCCTATGGGGTGCAGGGCTCAAGCACTTGGGCCATCCTCCACTGCACTCCCTGGTCACAGCAGAGAGCTGGCCTGGGAGAGGGGCAACCGGGACAGAATCCGGTGCCCCGACCAGGACTAGAACCCGGTGTGCTGGCGCCGCAAGGCGGAGGATTAGCCTAGTGAGCCGTGGCGCCGGCCCACAAACCTTTTTAAATGTCCTCTTATTGTGGAGATATTAGATTTTTTACCTGTGATATGTATTACAAATATTCTCTTCCAATATACAATTTGCTCTTGGCCTTGTTTATGGTGACTTTGTTTTTTCCATACAGAATTATGGGGTGTGTTTTTCTAATGTATCAAATTTATCCATCTTTTTTTTATCAACTATCTGGATTTTTAGTCATCGTTAGAAAGTCTTTCTGTACATCAGGTTATAGAGGAATTTGTCCATATTTTCTTCTGGTATTTGCATAATTTTAAATTTTATTTGAAACTTTCTTTCACAGGACATGGGAAAATGAGCACAGTGTATGTTTTTCTAAACTGTTATTCAGTTTATAACAACAACATTTGTTAAAAAGCTCATCTTGGCTCTAAGGATTAGACACCACCTCTGTCATAGACAGGAGGCCTGAAAGGAGCTGTGTTTATTTCTGAACTTTCTGTTCTATTCTGTTAATCTGCTTGTCTAGCCATGTACCATACAGATTTAGGAGAATGCTTCAATATCTAATAGGGCTAAGCCCACCTCAGAGCTATTCCTTTGCCATGTTTTCCTTTTTACTCTTGTGTATTTTATCCCCAAATGAAAAATTTTAGAGCTTTTTATACTTGGAGACAGTGATCTTTATGTATTAACTTATCTGAAAGGCATAGACACGGAGACACAAACATATGGAAAAAACGCCCATCCACTAGTTCACAGCCCAAGTGCCCACAACAGAGGGAGTACCAAGTTCAAGCCAGCAGCTGTGAACTCATTCTGGATCCCCTATGTGTAGGTGACAGGAATCCAACTACTCGAACCATCACTGCTGCCTCCCAGAGTCTGCATTGGCATGAAAGCTGAAGTCGGGAGCCAGAGCCAGGCATCAAATCCACAAACGCCATTTGGGACACAGGCATGCATCTTAACTGGTGTCTTAGCCACTAGGCTAAATGCCTATCCCCATATGAACTTTAATATCAATTCATCTTGGTTTTTTAAAATGTTCATTAGTATTTGAATCAGGGTTATGTTAAATTTTAAATGAAACAAAATTTAGGGAGAAACAAAATCTTGATCAACTGGAGTCATGCCAAGAACAAGGCGTGTTATTCTTTCTGTTCAAGTTACTGACATTTCCAGGGTGGACAATCTCTCCTGGACACTTACTTAGGCATCCTAGGTCCTTCAATAAAATAATAAGCATTTATTGAGCAAGTATTATGCCCTTAGCATTACATTAGGCACTGCAGAAGTGAAGAAGTAGGCTCCGTCCTCAAGCAGCCTAGAATTCCATGAGAGAAACACTCTAACAGAAAGCAAAGCAAATGAGGCACAGCCAAACCAGAAATGCAGCTCAGAGAAAAGAGTAAAAAGGCTGTGAGGGCGAGAGTGGGGATGACAAGGTACTGAGACTGGAGTCACGTGCCCTGAAGGGTATGTAGGATGTAGATGGAGCAGGCAAGAGGAAAAAGGAACCCCACAAAGCAAAAGCTCAGAGGTGGACTGAGAGAGACACAAGTCACAGGGCAGAAGGCCCAAGCTCACCCAGCTGGAGGGCTAAGGAAACCAACAGCCCCCCTTCCCTCAAGCCTCAGAGATGTGGGCTTCAGAGTAGGTAGTTTCAAAATCCCATCTGTATGTTCCTTAAAATTACCTTAAAGAATGTCTACTAGATTCCTAGACATTAGTCCTCGAGGACGGCATGTTCTCTACCTCATTACCTTTTCTGATGTACTAGCCAATGTGGTAGTTCCTAGCCATTAGGCCATTATGATGTGCATGGTGCAACTGGGGGAATGATTTTATTTAAACCTTTTTAAATGAACTTTTTTGTAAGCCAGAGAGAGAGGGAGAAGGAGAGAGACAGAGATAGAGACAGAGACAGAGAGATCCCTTCTGCTGGTTCACTCAGGTCCCCCATGTGGATGGCAGGAACATAACTACTTGAGCCAACACCTGCTGGCTCCAGGGTACACATTAGCAGGGTGCTAGTTGGACAGCACAGCTAGGACTTGAACCCAGGCACTCCAATATGGAAGGTGGGCATCCCACGTGGTGGCTTAACCACTGTGCCAAGTGCCCAGCCCTCTTTAATTCTTGAGTGTGAATTTTAAAATGGAAGTAGTGTCATGTGTATTTCCATGGAACCCAGCTCTGCTTGGGGAGGGCTACATGCTACTTTAGGCATACCGTTGTGTCAGATGTCATCATACTGCAGCGTGTGTGTGAGGGCTACTTGGTAAAATGCGGCTACTAGAAGACTATAAACTACAAATGTGGCCAACACTGAGTTTCCCTCTCATAGTACTGGTCCAGAACCTTACAACTCACTGTAGCCTGGTCTGCAGCAAGCAGCAGCTACCCCAGACCTTCAGAATTCACACTTAACTCCCCAAGCAATTCTCACACACAGCAAGAGAAGCACTGAGTTGGAGGGCCTGGGAAGATACCAGACCTTAGATGGATACCCAGCATGCCCAGGGTGGGCGTGGAGGTGAGAGAGGAGGCGGGGCCATAGCAGGGAGATCCTTGCCTGCCATTGTGACATCACAGAGTGGGCCCCTGGGTCACCCAGCCACACCTAAGCAGGTGTCCTGCCTGAGGGACATCCTTTCCATCCTCTCCAGCCCACCACCCACACCACCGCATCCCTCTGCTGGCAAGAGGGGACTTGGCTCATCCTTACATCAGCACTCACTACCCAGCTGATCAAGATCCAGCAAGAACGCAACAGAACCTTGTTTGCCTCAGATCAACAGTGGATGACCAGTCCCTCTCAACTAACTCAAAATGTTTATCTCACCCAGGAGGTAGGTACAGATTCTGAGATCTCTTATGTGTGATACAGGTGATACTAATCCTTCACTGTCATATATTTCACAGGCCCACAGCAGGGCACTTGGGACCACTTAACAGGATTATGCAAAATGGAATGAAAATTTGTTACTCGAGCCCGATTTTTAATTGATAAATCTGGCATGCCCATACCTTGGCCTATTGCTCTTTTGTCTCCCATTAAAATTTCTATTTCTTCTTCCTTTTTCTCTTCCTTCCTAAGGCTGCTGAAAACCCTACAGTTCTTCTTTTTGCCTTCCATCTGTCTGGTTCCAGTGGCCAAAATTCAGTGCTAGGACAAGGACGGAGATGGGGATCAGCCTAGGGAACTGAAAGGGCAAACACTGAGCTCTGTGCCAGAGAATGGGGAGGTCCTACTTGGAAGCCAGCTCAGCTCTATAACTTAGAGAGGACTGTACAACCTCGGGACCCGGAGATCCTTCAGGACACACGAAGAGGCTCACGGCCAGCAGAGATGGCTCGGCTTGAGCTTGTGTTGGGCCCACATTCAGAAAGGACCAGCCTCCCTTTACACAGGGTGCTGCCAGCTTCCGCTTCGGAGAGCTACTTAACGGTGTTCGTTCTCAAAGCTCCTGCCCTTCTCAGGACAGCATAAATGAAGCTTACAATTCAGGGAAGCCAGGAAACCCAAACACACAGACAGGAAGGAGAGGTGCCAGGCTGCGTGCCGTGGCGCAGTGGGGAGTTAGAGCAGCCAGGCCAGGCAGGACCAGAGCAAGAGGCACTTCGGGCAACAAGGGTGGGCTCTGCAGAGCAGCACCCCCCAGACCCCGCCAGAAGTACACAGACCATAATTAAGGCTGCCCTCCGAAGTGGATGTGCTGCTACAGAAAAAGCCAGTGGTGGCCTAGAGTCCATTTTATTGTTTTTACCATCGGTGTTCTGAGTGAAGCAGGGAATATGGGAGAGTCTGTTTGTTGACAGGCACCTGAAAAGTATAAAGTACAGGTACACATAATCCCTTCTGTGGCCTGCCCTGTAACCTGTAACTTTTGTTAAAGGTGACCGGGGCCTTGCCCGTGCTGGGCGGCAGGCTGGGACGGGGTCAGGTGCACAGCCTTGGGAGAGTTTTGAGTGCTGACGCCCGCCCAGCATTGCTAGGTTTGCGGCCTGGGGCAGGTCGAAGGCCCCGGACCTGAACTGTCCCCTGTGGAGTGGAGCCTGCGTCTCTCCTTCCGGAGCTGTGTGTAAAGTCTGGCTCCCATTAAGACCACAACCCTTTCCCTCATTGACTCCTGAGGGCACACTGAACCCCTGGGGGGGTCGTGGGTAGAGAAGTGACTACAATTCAGAGGCGCTGAGGGCCCCGGGGGCCTGCAGCCCCACAAAGGAGGCAGCGGCGCGCCCTTCCTTCGTGAGAGGAGCCGGAGGAGAGGAAGGGCATGCCTTGGATTCCACAGCAACCGCCGGCCTGCTCCCGCGCGCCGCCCTCCCCCCCTGAGAAGGCCTCGGGTCCCGGTTCTCAGCGGACACGAGGAGGCCCACGGGAGCAGACGCGCCGCCGCCCCGCCACACCCGCTCCGAGGTCCAGAGCGCAGCCGCCGCTAGGGCGGGGCCTGACGCACAATGTAAACCACGCCCCTGCGCGGCGCCCTAGCAACGCGCTCCCGCTGCTAGGCAACCAGGGCCCGTAGTAAACCGAGGGTGGGGAGGACGGTTACTCACCGCCAGGACAGGGCGGGGCGCAGGCAACGCGAGAGCGCGGCGAGGGCGCGAGCAGGGAAAGGACTACGAAGGGGGAGCTCACGGAAATGGGGATGGGAAGACCAGACCACGCCCGCCGGCGGCCGCACCCTGCCCCCCTCCCCCGCCCCGCGGTCCCCGAGAGCCCGCAAGCCCGAGCCCCGAGGGTGTCGTTCCCGGCGTGAGCGATTGCCCCACAGGATGTGCGAATATGGCGGGCCCGGTGATTCACTGCAGCTGCTGGGGCATGGACGACGGACGGCTTCCCCTCCTGGAAGTGACTGCATTCGCAGAAGCGCTCCAACAATGCAGCAGCAGCGGAAAGGGAAAGGCGCGCGAGAGGCCCCGGGCTGACGCGAGTGCAAGTGTTCCAGCGCCCGCACCCACCTTAGAAAGACTGGGGTCGTTTTCCCTGAGCATTTGGAGTTCTGTGGATCCTTGACACTGATTACAGCTGAGAATAATTAATTATCTCAGAGCTGTGTCCTGTGGCCGTTGTAGACATTTTGGCCACCCAGCAAGAGTATTTTGGTGGCAAACACTCTGCCCTTCCCTCCCGTGTGCTTGCCTTCACCCACCGGTGAAGGACTCCAGCGTCCGGCGCTGGAGTGACATTTCAGACACATCTAGTGGGGCTCTGATGAGTAGGGAATCACCCAGCCAGCGAAACGACGAAACAGAGTTTCCAGTCTGGCCTTTGAGTGCTCTGTTTGTTCCCTGGTCTCTGTGAACTAGAGAGAATGCTTGCTCATTAAATCATTGCTGTTTTCTGGGATTTGCTCATTGAAAAGCAGGAATGTTTCCACAGGTGGGAGGAAATCTTTTGGCAGGGAATCGAGTGAAACTCGGGGCATCTGCGTAGAAAGGCGTAGGGTGTGTCTGGATCTACGGACACTGGTAGCCGCTCGGCTCTTGTGAGTGTGAGTCGGGAGGAATCATCTGGTCGCTGTTTGGACATACTGCTTCATTCACATCTTTACCTGGAGGCTCCCTAAGTGAACCCCTGAGGCTTATTTGTGTTGCGAACCTCTTTCATTCATTGGTGAGTATTAAAACAGTGCTAGGTCCTGAGGCTCAACCATGAGTAAAACACAGCTGCTGCTCTATCCAGCAACTTAAAGTCACATGAGCATCCTAATACACAAGCTAGCCGTGTGATGATTCCCATGAGAGAGGTGCGTGCTGGAACAGGAGCAGAGAACTCACTGACAGTCAAAACGGTTACACTGGACTCCGGTCTTTCCTCTAGTAACAGAAAGGAGTTGATAAACATGGATCAGAAATCTGTCTCCAGGGTGAACAGAGGCATCATCGCCAGGGAAGGTCAATGAAACTTAAAGGAAGTGCCAGTGTGGATGATATAGAAAAAAAAAAAATCTGGGGCTGGTGCTGTGGCATAGCAAGTATAGCAAGTAAAGCCACTGCCTGCAGTGCCGTCCGTCATCTCCTATGGGCGCCTGTTTGAGTCCTAGCTGCTCCACTTCTGATCCAGCTCTCTGCTATGGCCTGGGAAAGCAGCAGAGAATGGCCCAAGTCCTTGGGCCCCTGTACCCACGTTGGAGACCTGGAAGAAGCTCCTGGCTCCTGGCTTCGGATTGGCCCAGTTCCTGCTGTTGCGGCCATCTGGGGCATGAACCAGCAGATGGAAGTATCTCTCTCTCTCTCTCTCTCTCTCTTTCTCTGCCTCTCTGTAACTCTGCCTTTCAAGTAATAAACAAACTCAACCAAACACTGGGATCCTTACCCCCAGGCTGTGGCACTGAAGGAATGATGTTGTGCACAACCTGCTGACACTCAGCATTACTGATCATTCGATCATTGGGATCCCCTCTAATCCACAGCGGACTCACAAAGCAATGCACTGAATCCCATTTACAAAGGACAGCTGGTGCCCAAGACCATTGTTTCACTTTGCAACTACCTAATAAATGTGGAGTTTTTTTAAACACTCCCAGGAATAGTGACTGAGAACCTCAGTAAATCAGCTCAGTCCCACCTCTAGGTTTTGTGATGTCACAAATGGTGAGGTGCATACATATCCTTGTGGAAGGCACCCTGAAATGGGAACATACAAAAGTTAAATACTGTGTTGAGATGTGGAATCTTTGTGTCTGTACTGAGTCATGAGCTTCGGAGCCTAGCCTAATTATATTTATGTTGCATTGACTAGCAATTACTTTTTCTGAGAGAGGAAAGGGAAGAAAAAAAATATTAACATGCCCAAATTACAATGAAAGGAAGTGAGTGGGATGCTGGGCTCCGATTTTTGCGGCCAGGCAGAGAAACCCATGTTTTGTCACAAAGAGGAAATTGGACATTGTGGCACAGAGTCCTTGGAGAGGGGGTAGCACAAGACTAGTCGTGTGTAACAGCCGGGCCAGCACGCACACAAAACACACACCGCTTCCTTGGGAGGATCCAGGCTTTGTGGAGTCCTAAAATCAAATCTTTTTTTTTTTTTTTTAAGAAAAATAAAATTACAAGTAGAAATTAGGTAGCAGGGTCTTGGAAGGGGCCCAACCAAGCGGGCAGCCACAAAGCTGGGGTTTCCTCCCACTCACTCTAAATCTACCTCTGGGCTTCCTCGTGCAACACATGAATGACTCCACCCTCCTATCCCCTTTTCCCTGGAGAAGGCAAACTTCAGGCTATTAAGGCACAAGGGGTGCGGTTTATGAGCAGAGGCAATAAAAACCAAAGACACAAGGCTGCCAAACCAGTGACTCAAGCGGGATATGAGAAGTGTCTGCAAGTATTTGAAGGGTGTAAGTGCAGAGGAGGAAAAAGGAGTGTTCAGGGGTCTGGGGTGGAGAGGGAATGAGGACACCATTCAGGACAGAAAAATGTGAGGAAAGCTCATCAGGAAGCCTTGGCTGCCCGTATTTTCTGATAGTGTGCTGTTGGATTTCCCATGGGAAGTATTTGAGGATCTCTGGAGTCACTGCAAAGTGGAACTGGCCACACAAAAATGTGCTACAGGAAGCAATCCTACAAGACGTGCCCCAGGGAGTGGCTGGATGCCCCCAGAGTTCACTGTGAGCGGTGAATTCCATCAGGCTGACACATGGGCTCTTGCACGGGTGTGCGGGGAGCAGGCCCGAGGAGGAAAAAGAGCAGTCCTACAGGGAGGAGGGGCCACCTCCACCCACATCTCCCTGATGTGGAAGGAAGCAGGAAGAGGAAAGAAGTGTGAGGGGATAGCACCACCCAGCGTTGTCCTGGCTCTGTGGAGCCAGGAAGCCCAGAGCCAATTCAACTGTAAAAGTGATCA